CAACAAATAGGGCTGCTTCCAATGCGTTGGTCCTCATGGCTCAGTTGGTAGAGCACTGCAGCGCCAACTCAAAGGCCAAGAATGAGTACGGATCCCATTCAAGCCCCCAATTTTTTCAGGTTAATTTGCAATATTGCTTAAATTCCTATTGTCATGCCTTCACTAAAATGGTTTCATTGTTTCGTGGTGGTTAGCAAAGTGGTTACAAATTAAGTTCGTGTCTCTTTAGACTAATGTCCTGTGGCAATGTCCTTACATCTCGCATGCAGGTGTTCGGGCATAGCTTGTTTTTGACCCTTAACCGTCGAACGGTTTGTCTTGGAGAGGCCTAAGCACTATTATTTATTTTGGCCAATCATAAATGTGACCTACTGAAAAGACGCCATAAAATCTCATCACTGTCACTCACCATAATTCTAAGTCATAAATTGAGCGTTCATTCAGAGCCACATGGAAACCACGTGCATAGACCGAACATCGAATTTAATCTCTGTCCAGCAATTGGTCGAAACCGGGGAAAATTCTAACAAAGCTTAACAACATTCCTGATAATTGGTTCGACGCACGGCTAACAAAAGAAATGCACTAGCTTCCGACACCATGATGGTTATATTAAAAAGATTAACTAATTTTCATCATTTAAAAATTTGTTTCTTTACTGAACCATTGATTGTGCTTAGATTCCGCGATAAATGTTTTTGCCGATTGGTTTGGCTTGCGTTCAGAAACTGGCCGCGGAAGAAATTTGTGGTTGAGAACTAACACGTACGAAAAATCAAGAATTTACCTTAAAATAGGAAAATGGAGGTCTCCAAAAATTACACCGAAATCAAAATCACTCTTTCTTCTAAATAACTCGGCTTTTTTGTTGACTGAGTGTGATGAATATGCATTGTACGTCGAAATTAAACATGATATTACACCTTGATAATACCTCTAAGGTCATGGGTCCCAAAGAATCTAAATAGAAAAACCCATTTCTTTGTCTATTTGCTAAAATCCGAGTTAATTGCAACAACAGTCTAAGAATGTCATTGTTACACTCCTGCCCTCTAGACCTGGATTCCAGAAATCTTTGTTTGATAATGGTTGAGCGCTCGACCTGGAATTGATGGGGTTTATTTTAGCCCAGTGAACAATTTAAATTTCTATCATGCTACTCAACTGTTCAGCCGTTTTGAAAGTTGACGGCAACATTTTATCAAGAAACTAGGATTTGATTCGTTCTGTAATGATTCTTTATTCAGGGCGAAGACGGCGAAAAGGCCCGCTTTTGGTCGAGATTTTTGGCAGCAAGTTCAAACTACGCCTGTTGAAATGGTTAGTTTGCAGGTTTGAGACGAGGATACAAATTTTCGATTTCCAGAAGCACAAAAATGGCTCATATAGGGCTTTAAACCAAGGTGTTTGTAAGATGCTATCTCAGACAACTAAAGTATGAAACAATTCAGATGGAAAACGTCTATAACATACAGTAATTATAACAAGACCTTACAATCTTAGTTTTCTTACCGACACAGGGCAGCAGCCGAGATTAACCTTGCAGTTTAACTGGCCGATTTTCCTCTGTTCCTAGGAATATAGAAACGAGATGAAATACTGGGATCGATCAAGAAGCATAAACATATTCATAATGTATAGGTTCTGGTAAAATATGTAAAAGCAAAACAAAAATTAACGGAATAAACTTTACACACCGTTACACCAATAACAGGCAGAACTGAACAAATTCCAAGATCTTAGTGAAAGTTTTCAATTTTGAGGTACTCCGTTTCTTTGAGCAACAAGCAACAATTGTCAATAACATTTTGTGAAAAAAAATACCTTTTACTCTTAAGATTGAATATGAATTTGAATAAGATTCAAATGACTGTTTTTTTTTAAGTTTTGCGGGAATCGTTGTGAGTTTTAGGAGATATGATAAGTTTTTGCTGAGGTTGTGTCAGTTACAACCGTGGTTTATATTGTTTTTCAAACAGAACGTGTTTCTAAATTTAGAAGATAATATAAGGGCAATAGAACCCATGCAGTGATAGTTGTCACATAAGTGATGAAAAAAAAATTACAATATTGAGACGGTACCTGTAAAAATGTCAACCCGGTACCAAAAGCGAGCACTGGCTTATGATATCACCAGTCGGGCCTGAAGATGGGGTCCACAACTTATTTTGTTGTGCAATGCTTCGTATTAGTTCGGTGGCTTTGAATAAATGCCAGAATATTGACACTCAAACTAATTAGCAGTTGCCCGTAATTGGTGGATAAAAAGGCATTGAACACTCGATATATAAGAGCGTCGGTGAAAATGTTTTATGAAACCGCAACGATTTTCTGTGGGCGCCTCTTAGATTGTTTTAGATCATTACAAACTTAGTCTCACGTCGTTCAATTTTGTAGGAAGACAAAACACTCATAAAGAAATTGTCTAAGCACGATCGTTGTTTATCCCTCTAGAGACAGCTTTGGCACTGCAGTCAAATTGTTGCAACTAAGTTTTTGCGTTTCGTTACGCTCACGTACACGAGCCACGCTGGGCAGTCCATAAGAGCTTTAATACCGCGAAAAGCCTGGTGCCTCTTGTAATAACTAAATCATTAATTAGACAAATGACACTTAAATAACATAAACCACGCCAACTGGGAAGCCCTGGAGACAAGGTTGCCGTAGGCTCAGTTGATTTGGTAAAGCTGGAGAAAATGGCGGGAAGATTTCATTTGAAGAGAATTTTTTTCAGCCTTTTTTTTCGCCACTGCAAAAGTTGCGTATATAACTGCGATGATCTTCCTTCATATCATTCTTCACTCCGCTGTTCACATACATGATTTTCATATATTCATAACTTCAACAACAAAACACAACTCAACGGATGGATGACAACTGCTGTTTGAAGGTCATCTGCTAAAAACATCCATTCATATCCTGACTTTGTCGTGGAAAGCACAAATGAAGACGAGAGTTAACATCGCTCGAGGTGCGCGTGTTTTAAATTCTGAATTGACTGAATTGTGTTAAATGAATTTTGAGAAACAATTATTGCATTCGGCTGTCGTATGATCTGCTGCATAATTCAGTCTTAAGCTTATACACAGCCTTATCTAATAATTGCTAAATAACACTTAAAAAACAGTCTCAGATGAACATTCATTTCATTCCATGGGCTGTAAGTTGAACGATCACGTTAGGATTTCACCTGAGAGACTCAAAGGTTTGAAACAGTTAAGGAAAACCAGCGGTTTTACCGGTATTTCATCAGCTACACAAGCTGCGCCGTAATAAAAAATGCAGAGCAATTCATTTTGAAAGAACACGGCATTATTGATACTGATTACAATAAACCGTCCAAGACTGTTATCGATGCAGTTTTTTTCTGTCTGTTTCATTAAAAGCCTAACAGACAAAAGATCCGTGAAATTTCAATTACCCTGGCGTGGGTCGACAAATTTCACCGTTGTTAGTAGTGAAACTGAACGACCTACGTACCATTTAGGCACTGACAGAGACCCAGTTTACACGGGTCCGAATGAATATTTACCTGTGCAACCCGTTAACACACCGTGGAGTCACCGTGCAAATTCTGTTACGGCACTTCATTGTTTACATGAACTCGTGCAAATTTTGCCAGTCTCAATATTGGATTTTTTTTAATGAAAGGCGCGTCAAGTTCCAGGCTTTTACCTCGCACACTGTGCAAAAAGTTGCAACCGTGTTCAGGTGTTTACACGAGTCGGCATAAAAGTGAAACCGTAACGGTTTCGCGTCGACACCACTTGTTTCCTCGTGAAGTGGAGTTTGCGAAAAGACACCCAGATCTGGGTAGTGCTTCCGATTGGCTGAAGCAAATTTCCTTCGCAGCGCAACCAATCAGAAGCTCTACCCATATGAGGGTAGAACACGTCATCAGAATGGACTTTCTGCGCTCGTTTCTCAGACATCATTTCGAGCTAAAACCATTGGTTGCGTCGCTAAATGTCGGCTGTTTACTTAGGCTATCCCAAACTGAATGACTCGAACTATTTCATTTTCTTGTTTCTTCATGTCCATCCCCACCTCTTTCACGGCATTAGCCGGTGAAATTCAAGGCCAAATTCACGGGGTTTCCTGGCCGGTTTTTGACACTGACAGACTGTTTGTCTGTTTTTGAAGTCAGGGGCGAGCGGCACGGGAAAGATAGAGCTTGCTCGCAGGCTACTGTTTCATGTGACTAAAGAAAAAGAAGACGGCGGCATGGAGGATACACCAAAAGACTGACTCGAGTTCAACGTCGCAGGCATGCCGGCGGTAAAGACTGCGATGTTTCTTGTTGCCGGCGGCGTTATGTCCTGATATGTCCTCATGTATCGCAGGTAGTACCGGCGGTTATGTCGCAGGTACTTCGGCGGCATATGAGAACCAGGCTAAAGGGTTAAATTTTTGCCCTAAGTGAGAAGTAAGTGTTCATCTTGGCTTAGGGGTGGGGTAGGTGGGCGGACATTATAGGATGTAAAAAAAACAATGAGTAAAAACCGCAAGCAAAAAATCAACTGTATCAGTTGCCGTTTAGAGGAGATTTCAGTTATTAAGGGAATGGTGTTCAGAGAGGGTCCAATGTACCTCTTCTTCTTGTCAGTCTGCATTCCGGTTCAAGAAACAGTTGCTATGTTTCAGTGACTTCAATCGATAGTTGTTGTTGTTGCTTTTTTATAGCGACAATTGCACGCGTCAAAAGTGCTAAAAGGACAGTAGCCTTGATGTCCCTCAACTGTTAGCAATCTTTCGGGACGATCGTACACCCAGGTACATCGCTAATCACGTCCTCAGATCTCTTTTCGCCTTCAACTTCGCCGAAAAAAGATCTGGGTACAAGATTAGTAGATCGCGGGCGAGAGCGGGCCAGCGAACTACAGTTCCTTTAGTCCACAGTCCACTATCCTACCTAAGCCACGTACTCAGGGAGTATAGAGTTAAACGGTACGACATTCAAAATATCATACAAAGTCCTGGTCGGCTTGCTTTAAAATTACCCCTTTTATTTCAAAACTGAAAAATACTCATTAATCTCTTTTATACTTGCATCTATCAACTACATGGATAAGAACTTAAAACAAACTACAGTACCATAAATCCTCTATTAAGCCCCCTTCTCTAATGAGCCCTCCCTTAAGAATGAGGGATCAGTCCTTTTGATACTAATGTTTCTGAAAAAGAGATGGTTTCAGGGGCACCCAACGAGAATATAGTTCAAAACCACTTAAATATAGTATTGTTAACGTATTTTAGTATTTAAACGGTAGATTTCGGCATATTTTTATCCCCTAAAAAGTTTTCATCTGTTCGGATTTCCTAGCTGAAATTCTAGTGATCCGAAAATTATAGGGATCAAAACTTACCTTTTCGAAAATTTCAGCCAGAAAAAAGGCTCCGAAAATTCTAGGTGCCCTTTTTAGGGTAAAAATCCGTTAAAAATGGGCAATTATACCATTTTTTAGGCGTGCGAAAATCCTAGGAGAGGCAGGCAAGCAAGAAATTTTACAACAAATGTACCGAAAACTCTAGATCTCAAATGTCTTCCCAACAGATATTTTCCGAAAATTGACTTTGGGTGCCCCTGATGGTTTAGGAAGACGTTGTACCTTACTTTGGATGTGAACGATGAAATCCATAACACTGACATTGAATCATAACCATCAGGACAATTTTTCTTCAATAAACTACCTATGCGGATATTTAGTTTTTACATTTAGATTTAGCTTAACGTTTTGTTTAGGTTTTCAATTTAAAATTCACGAATTTTGTAATTCACATATTTCAAGGTTCCCACAAGTGAAAAAAGATGTTGAAATACCTTGTACAACACATATAATTATCTTTAAATCTCCATGTTAGACAATCATTGCCCTGGTCCAAAACAGGAGGAAGGGACGAGTAACTCGGTCTGTTTCTTCCTGTTTTCCTGCTACCGGCAATGCAATATATTAAGTTAGATAAGCTACCCCCGCCCCCCCTCAAACGAGCTTAAAACCCTCTTTCGATTAAGCTCCCGCTACCTAAAACGTGCTTGAAATAAATAAACCACCAGGTGGCACAATAGAGGATTTATGGTATATTATTTTTTTAAAAAGGCTTTTCAAGCCTTTTGATCATTTTGGACTTATTTTCACAAAACGACAGTCACTAAGGAATATTTCATTTAGTTTTTGATTCTTCCACAGATTTAAGCCTTTTTGCACTTGGTGGAGCAGTTGGGTCCTGTGGATCTTCAACCAATTTGTTGTGAACATCCATCAAACCTTTGAAGTATTTGACTGTCCGTACTCTCAGCTCCATTGTAGCATCTTCATCCACTAAGAACAGTGTGTGAGGATGCTGCTGAAAAGCGGATACTGTGCACATGTGATTCATGCCATCCTCTGTGGCATGACGGAGAGCAAGAGCTTTCTTTACACCACTGATCAGAATTAGAACCTATAAAGGAAAACAAAAAAACTCGTCCAGTATGTTGCCACTTAGCCTGCAAGCTAAGGATGAAACACTTCCCAGAATCCAAAATACTTCCCAGAATTCAAAAACACTTGCCAGAATCCAAAACACTTCCCAGAAACCAAAAATACTTCCCCAGAATCCAAAACACTTCCCAAAATTCAAAACACTTCCCAGAATCCAAACCACATCCCAGAATCCAAAAATACTTTCCCAGAATCCAAAACAAACCCCAGAATCCAAAACACTTCCCAGAATCCAAACCACATCCCAGAATCCAAAAATACTTTCCCAGAATCCAAAACACATCCCAGAATCCAAAAACACTTCCCAGAATCCAAAACACATCCCAGAATCCAAAAATACTTTCCCAGAAATTATCCAAAACACATCCCAGAATCCAAAATACTTCCCAGAATCCAAAACACATCCCAGAATCCAAAAACACTTCCCCAGAATCCAAAACACATCCCAGAATCCAAAAACACGTCCCAGTATCCAAAACACTTCCCAGTATCCAAAACACTTCCCAGAATCCAAAACACGTCCCAGTATCCAAAACACTTCCCAGTATCCAAAACACTTCCCAGAATCCAAAACACTTCCCAGAATCCAAAACACGTCCCAGAATCCAAAACATGTCCCAGTATCCAAAACACTTCCCAGTATCCAAAACACTTCCCAGTATCCAAAACACTTCCCAGTATCCAAAACACTTCCCAGTATCCAAAACACTTCCCAGAATCCAAAACACGTCCCAGTATCCAAAACACTTCCCAGTATCCAAAACACTTCCCAGAATCCAAAACACGTCCCAGTATCCAAAACACTTCCCAGTATCCAAAACACTTCCCAGAATCCAAAACACGTCCCAGTATCCAAAACACTTCCCAGTATCCAAAACACTTCCCAGAATCCAAAACACGTCCCAGTATCCAAAACACTTCCCAGTATCCAAAACACTTCCCAGAATCCAAAACACGTCCCAGTATCCAAAACACTTCCCAGTATCCAAAACACTTCCCAGAATCCAAAACACGTCCCAGTATCCAAAACACTTCCCAGTATCCAAAACACTTCCCAGAATCCAAAACACGTCCCAGTATCCAAAACACTTCCCAGTATCCAAAACACTTCCCAGAATCCAAAACACGTCCCAGTATCCAAAACACTTCCCAGTATCCAAAACACTTCCCAGAATCCAAAACACGTCCCAGTATCCAAAACACTTCCCAGTATCCAAAACACTTCCCAGAATCCAAAACACGTCCCAGTATCCAAAACACTTCCCAGTATCCAAAACACTTCCCAGAATCCAAAACACGTCCCAGTATCCAAAACACTTCCCAGTATCCAAAACACTTCCCAGAATCCAAAACACGTCCCAGTATCCAAAACACTTCCCAGTATCCAAAACACTTCCCAGAATCCAAAACACGTCCCAGTATCCAAAACACTTCCCAGTATCCAAAACACTTCCCAGAATCCAAAACACGTCCCAGTATCCAAAACACTTCCCAGTATCCAAAACACTTCCCAGAATCCAAAACACGTCCCAGTATCCAAAACACTTCCCAGTATCCAAAACACTTCCCAGAATCCAAAACACGTCCCAGTATCCAAAACACTTCCCAGTATCCAAAACACTTCCCAGAATCCAAAACACGTCCCAGTATCCAAAACACTTCCCAGTATCCAAAACACTTCCCAGAATCCAAAACACGTCCCAGTATCCAAAACACTTCCCAGTATCCAAAACACTTCCCAGAATCCAAAACACGTCCCAGTATCCAAAACACTTCCCAGTATCCAAAACACTTCCCAGAATCCAAAACACGTCCCAGTATCCAAAACACTTCCCAGTATCCAAAACACTTCCCAGAATCCAAAACACGTCCCAGTATCCAAAACACTTCCCAGTATCCAAAACACTTCCCAGAATCCAAAACACGTCCCAGTATCCAAAACACTTCCCAGTATCCAAAACACTTCCCAGAATCCAAAACACGTCCCAGTATCCAAAACACTTCCCAGTATCCAAAACACTTCCCAGAATCCAAAACACGTCCCAGTATCCAAAACACTTCCCAGTATCCAAAACACTTCCCAGAATCCAAAACACGTCCCAGTATCCAAAACACTTCCCAGTATCCAAAACACTTCCCAGAATCCAAAACACTTCCCAGTATCCAAAACACGTCCCAGAATCCAAAACATGTCCCAGTATCCAAAACACTTCCCAGTATCCAAAACACTTCCCAGAATCCAAAACACATCCCAGAATCCAAAACACATCCCAGAATCCAAAAATACTTTCCCAGAAATTATCCAAAACACATCCCAGAATCCAAAATACTTCCCAGAATCCAAAACACATCCCAGAATCCAAAAACACTTCCCCAGAATCCAAAACACATCCCAGAATCCAAAAACACTTCCCAGAATCAAAACACATCCCAGAATCCAAAAATACTTTCCCAGAATCCAAAACACATCCCAGAATCCAAAATACTTCCCAGAATCCAAAACACGTCCCAGTATCCAAAACACTTCCCTTAATCCAAAACACGTCCCAGTATCCAAAACACTTCCCAGAATCCAAAACATGTCCCAGTATCCAAAACACGTCCCAGTATCCAAAACACTTCCCAGAATCCAAACACGTCCCAGTATCCAAAACACTTCCCAGTATCCAAAACACTTCCCAGAATCCAAAACACGTCCCAGTATCCAAAACACTTCCCAGAATCCAAAACATGTCCCAGTATCCAAAACACTTCCCAGTATCCAAAACACTTCCCAGAATCTAAAACACGTCCCAGTATCCAAAACACTTCCCAGTATCCAAAACACTTCCCAGAATCCAAAACACTTCCCAGTATCCAAAACACTTTCCAAAATTCAAAACACTTCCCAGAATCCAAAACACATCCCAGAATCCAAAACACTTCCTAGAATCCAAAACACTTCCCAGAATCCAAAAACACTTTAAAACACTTTAGGATTCTTGGACATGTTTTGGATTCTGGGAGTGTTTTGTCCCTATCAGCCATGGTATGCTCTGGTTCATTTTTCACTCCGCCACCAGAGCCCCCTTGAGAACAAATTCAATCATCAAACTAAGCTGAAACATGTATTTCCATACATGTACAATGATACTGAGCTCAAAAAGAAAACTTGAATATTCCAGCTTGCCTTTTGCACAACAGGCTTGCCTGGACTCCTGCCCGATGGACAACTCAGCCTTAAAAGTTACTTGCCCAGCAAGAAAATCTACTTATCCTGGACTTTCAGACGGGGATTTTTTTCGAGCTATGAATTGTAGAAGGATTCATAAGGTTTCTGTCTTCTCTATACCTAAAAAAGCAACACCTCACATTTTATCTCAGTCTAAAATTAATTATCTGCCCCTTACCTCTTGAGCATCCATCACCGTGGCCACACCCACCGTAAGAGCCATGGTAGGAACCTTGCTGATGTCATTATCAAAAAAGCGTGCATTAGCTACAATGGTGTCTTTTGCCAGGGTCTTCACCCTCGTCCTTGATTTCAGCGACGATCCAGGCTCGTTGAATGCAATATGACCATCATCGCCAATTCCTGTAAAAAATTATAGGGTAGTTGTTGCATTAAAATCCTCATCTTGAGTTTTAGATGCAGAGAAATCAGCAGCAATATAGCAGCAAAAGTGAGTAGATAGCAGTCTGTACTAGGCAGAATGTTATTAAAAACTCCAGAGGAGGCAACCTTAATACTCTAAGAGGAGCACAACACTTTTATAAAATTTTTTTGCATTATTTCACATATAGTTTTTTGGTGTGAGATCAAAATGACAAGCCTTCATTTACTGTGATTTTGGAGAATTTCATATGAAATATCAACAAACTCTACAATTTATTGTTGCAATAAACTGCTCAGTCCCAGAATATATCAGATATTAAAGTACGACATACTTGTCTGCGTAACTTCCACTAAAAGTGTCATTACAATTTCTGGACAACCACAGTAAAGATTTCCATGGTCATGGGCAAATTTTATTCAGATACTATCCAAAGACCCTATAAAAAATCTTCAAAAAAAATTCAAAAGTGTATAGAATGAGACATAACTGAACAGTATCTGAGGAAATGAATAAGGATGCTTTAGAAAACAACGTACCTCCAATAAAGAGATGAACTCCACCAGCTTCCTTTATCATTTTCTCAAAATTATTGCATTCTTCATCAAGATCATCAGCATTCCCATCCAGAATATGGGCATTTTTAGGTTCAATATCAATATGCTTGAAGAAATTTTCCCACATATAGGAATGGTAGCTTTCAGGATGATCTCGTGGAAGGCCAACATATTCATCCATGTTAAAAGTTTTGACATATCTAAAAGAAAGCTCCCCCATTTCGCAGAATTCCACCAGCTTCCTGTACATTCCAAGAGGTGAACTTCCTAAACAATGCGTAGAAAAAAAATATGAGTTCTCTTAACATTTCCTATCATTTTCACTCCTTGAAGTGTACTGAAATTAATGAGACCAGTGTTTAATTACTCCTTCAAAATAATATTGAGAACCTACAATCGGCGACAAAATTGTTGAGACATTGTACTTAAATAGGGTGACTTCGGAGAACAAAAGAATCCGCACCCCTCCCCTGTCCCCTCCATTCAAAGTTGGGGTGTTTTTTGTTTTCTATAGGTAGCTAGAACAAGGGCACAACATTGTACGGAGGGGATGGGGGAGAAAAGCTATATTTCCTCCTTTTGAAGTTCATAAACTCAACTCATTTTGTCGCCGATTGTCTGAATCGAAATCTACGCGCTGTTGTCCTATTAGCACCGGTTAGGAGATGGTAACTAGTTGAAATTACTATATTCACCGGGTCGTTTTTCAGAAGATAGATAAGATACCCATATAATCCCTTTCCTGTGTTTTTCGAGGGAAAATTAGTTTTGACAATCTTTGTACTTGGTAGTGATTTCAAGTAATTACGCAGCATACCCACGTACCGAATGATTGATTTTCCTCTGGTAACTAAGTGTGATCGGTAGGAATCGATGGCAGATAATATATTGTATTTGAATATATCCCTAGTAAGTTCNAATCTTTGTACTTGGTAGTGATTTCAAGTAATTACGCAGCATACCCACGTACCGAATGATTGATTTTCCTCTGGTAACTAAGTGTGATCGGTAGGAATCGATGGCAGATAATATATTGTATTTGAATATATCCCTAGTAAGTTCGAAGTGTTTATTCGAAGTTTGGCTATTTGATAAGGGTGGGATGGATGATAAAATAGCCATGATTGCTATGCGCAGGAGAATTTTCAGGAAAAATGTTCCAACTTCTAATGCACAGCAAAGCTGCATAGCATCGCTAAATCTGTGCAGCAAATTTGTTGCCCATATACCCATGAGGGTCTTTGAAGAATGTACTTTACAGTAGAAACTATGAGGTCAGGAGGAGAATGGCCATGAGTAACCACGAGTAACCAACTTTGTTCCTAAAAGATAATTAGATTATTTTATTTTATACTCATCGTGGTTACTCGTGGTTACTCGTGGAAATTCCTCCTAAAGAGCAATTTTAGCCAATATAACTACTTTAATGCCTAGAAATCTATTAAGTTTTCTATCCTTTTCACTTTTTTCTTTGTTTCGATGCGTTTTGATAAAGGAGAGAATAAGAAATCGTGCCCGACGCGCCACATCGACGATGTCAAGGCACGGTAAAGCGTGACACGAAATGTTTCGCACTGAACATAACGAAATCGCCTTATTCTAATTGTTCTAAAATAGGTATGATGAAGTCAAACATAACAAATAAAAAGCCACCAGGGGTCTTACATCCCAGCATAAAAAAATGAATTCAATTAACTTTCTAAAGGTCTTACATCCCAGCATAAAAAAATGAATTCAATTAACTTTCTAAAGGACGTACGGCCACTTTTGAGATTCAGACAATGGGCGACAAAATTGTTGAGACATTGTACTTAAATAGGGTGACTTCGGAGAACAAAAGAATCCGCACCCCTCCCCTGTCCCCTCTATTCAAAGTTGGGGTGTTTGTTGTTTTCTATAGGTAGCTAGAACAAGGGCACAACATTGTACGGAGGAGATGGGGGAGGAAAGCTACATTTCCTCCTTTTGAAGCTCATAAAACGTAAAAAAGCCTATTTTTGGGCGAAGTGTCTCAACTCATTTTGTCGCCGATTGTAGAAAACAGCCTTACACACCATTTCAGAGACTTTTCATGACAACCAAAAATCAAAGCTAGCCAGTCAGACTGGTCTTTGAAAACGATATGGGCTTTTTTAAAGACCTTTTTTGCTAAAAACCAGAGCCTTCTTCAGAACCAGCCATAATCTAGCTGGGAAGCTGTAATTTCGTTACAACTGGATTGGTCTGGCCCACCAGTCCCAACTAAATGTAATAACCCTGAGTCAAAGGGGTTTTTGCCTGGTGTATGGGAAAGCCTCGGGTGAATCCTGTTAACCCTGGCCCATGATTACAATGTACATCTTCCTCACTGAAAAATTCCAGAGAAACATGTAAAATATGGATCATAGGACTGGTCATCTGACATTATATAAAACAGGTAAACTATGAGGCATTCTGAGAGAACAATGATTCAAAAATGTGGTACTGTTATGGTTATACTTACCATAAATGAACGGCAATCATAAATACATTATATACTTTTGCAATTTTGCTTGGAAGCATAGGTGAGGTAAGTGAATTTATATCAAAGGTAATAAATTAACCTTTTGTTAGTAAAATAATGATAAATGTTACAGTTGATATTTCATTTCAAGTAATTTTTGTTTTTCTTTCGTTTTTGGGTATGGTAATGTATGCTAATGAAGTTGAAACAAAAGAAAAAGAAACATTACCTGAGATAAAAAATTAACAACAACAAATATATTATTTCTTCTGAAATCAGTACCTGTTGGCAGACCAAGAACAAAATATTTGTCTGGTCCTGGGTTAAACTTGAGAATTTTGTTACGCACATACTTGGCTGCCCACTCTGACAATTGGGTATAGTCATTGACGATAACCAACCTCATGATGTAGATCTTGTTCAATCTAAAAATGACAAGGGAGTCAGTTTACAAGAACATTCCTGAAGAGTGGCTATTACTCTCTATCTTAGCGGCTGTCATGCGGTCATCTATGCCCTTCCCGTCACAAGGAGGGTTGCGGTTGCCTTTCTCCCATCCTGGCTGTCCATTCACGGGTCTAGATGTATTTGAATTATGGATTAATATCTACATTAATGCTTGTGCATGACAAATAATGGCCTTCTAGGAAAAAACTTTACACTACACATGCAGAATGCAGGCTATCATTGGACGGCACATGAAAGGATAATTTGGCACCAAACAGTTCCAGAAAATAGCTGTGATTAGCTCAAATCTGGAAAGGAATGTGGTTTGAATGTGAGCAGCCGTTTGTTGGGGTGGAACGTTGTGTGACAATACAAAAATGTCTGTAAGGGAGACTAGCAATACCTATGCAGACAGCTCTACTAAAGAAGGATATAACAGTCTGGACAAACTGCTTACCCCTCCCCTAACCCAACATTTTGCCCTAAGTAGGAATATGGCTGTCGACTCTCCCGGATAATCCGGAAGACTCCCGATTTTGAACTGTTACTCCCGGTCTCCAGATTAGAGTCTGAAATCTTTCAGTCAATCAAATTTCAAATATTTTGCGTTGTTTGAGCTATTTAAACTTTTAACATCGAATGTTTCCTTGGAAACCCCAGTATGCCATTGTATTTAATATAAGCAATGATGTGATTGGTAGGAAGTAAGCCAATCAGGTACAAGTTTTACAATTCCAACAACATCTTTTTCGCATGTTTTCTGCACAAATGACGTCATGTTTCGAGCATTATGACGTCATCTATTATCCCATTGTCAATAATGTTTGAAGATGTTGGGGGTTAACCCCAGGGGGGGGGTTCTCCCATACATTCCCTATACGGGTATGTGCCGCCCAACGGGGTCGTGACTTTGAAGCTGCTGATTTAGAACGGGGTATCCATTTCAGAGGCGTTTTCTAGAAAAAAATTTCTAGAAAATTTTTAGGCGTTTTCTAAAAAAATTGTGGATCACGGCTTTATCTTCTGCTTAAAATTGTTGCTGATTATGAAGAAGCATTTATTTGATGTATAAGTCGAACAAATAAAGAAATATCTTTTTAAAGAAACAGGGCTATTTCAATTAACAAACTTTCTAGAACAGAGTATAAAAAATTGGCCCATTTCTAGAACGGGGTGTCAGTTTTAGGGCCAATTCTAAAACAGGGTATAAAAAATTGGCCCATTTCTAGAACGGGGTATCAATTTTAGAGGAAATTTTTTTTAGAACGGGGTGCCAATTTGGAGTCCCGGGCGGCACATACCCACCCAAAAAATACCCAAGTGCCCCCCCCCCCCCCCCCCCCCCCCCCCCCCCCGCCCCCCCCCCCCCCGACCGCCACCGTCCTCTCCCCTCCTCCGGTCTTGTAGTTTTTTTTTTTTTGTCTTGTGATTAAAAATATATAATACACCCCCTCACCATTTTTTTTTTTTTGCTTCTCCCCCCCACCCCCCCACGAGCCAGGCTCATCTGTGGCTCGTGCGCGCGCCGCCNCCCATTTCTAGAACGGGGTATCAATTTTAGAGGAAATTTTTTTTAGAACGGGGTGCCAATTTGGAGTCCCGGGCGGCACATACCCACCCAAAAAATACCCAAGTGCCCCCCCCCCCCCGAGGGTTAACAGCCCTGAGCAGTGTCCCAGAGCCTTATACTGATCCCTTAGTCCATTAGGTTAGATTTGTTTATGTTGCCAAGAATTACATTAAAATATATGCACCTCCCCGTCGCTAATATTTGTTTCGTGCCAACCCGACCGTCGGCCATGTGACGCATGACTGTCGGCTGAGCGTTTGCCACCCGAGGAACTAAAACTAGCATTTTTAACAGAAAATAGGGCGCTGTGCTATGATCTGAGCATTAACTTGAACTTTACAAAGGAGTACTTACCTAATGGTAGAGGAAGATGCAAAATGGTCGCGGTATCTCAACACGAAAACGCCAGGCGTGCGCTGAAAAGGAAAGACCACACGTAACAGGCTCATCAAACACAGCGTTCAGCGGTTACACACATGAAAAACATGAATCATATATGAAGTACCTACCACACGTGCCCAGCGGGAGCAAATATGGCGTTTCGCGGGACTGTTTTTCCACTGATTTTTGGAGGAACGTTGATATTATTTGGTTTCGGATTCTATCACAGGTACAAGCTTATTATTAACACCGAGGAGCAAGCTCAGAGGAAGGAATACAACATTCACAAGGCACTGGAATTCCGTCGCACAGTTAAGGAAAAAATCGATGAAAAGAAATCTAACAGTTGATTGCGGGCGTTTTGAGCTAAGTTGCAGGTTTGCGTTTTAATATAGTTTTCAATTTTGGTTTCGGTTTGAGGAGCATTCATATTGCGGTGTGTGGCGGATTAGACTGATTTGTGCAAATGTTAACATGTACTCTGATCGAATCGAAATGTAACTGACTAGCATCGAAAAATATGTGAATTGCAAATTTGACGAATAATATTATTCACATTCCAATGGGAGAATCGCCAATTCTACATAGATGTCGGGTGAAGAAAAACGAACTCGATCTAAGAGATGCTTGTCACGTAACAAGCGTTTGAAAGCAGAGAAAGCTACTGTAGATGATCCTTCATCCAATGAAGCTACTGGAGAAGTATTTACAGTTCTTAAATCAAAACGGTCACAATGCTCACATCTAATTGGAACGACTGATCATTTGGAGAATGAATTCGCAGTGTTGACTGAGAAAACTTCAGAAGCTAAAATTCTCACACGGAAGTCAAGAAATGACCAAAAGGATGTATTTGAATTTGCTGATGAAGAGAGTGACGACACAAGTGAACAGCCAGCAACAGCCCCTCTGGGTAATAATAAGCGGAAAAGGATTGCTTCTGAAGAACTTGAAGTCTCATGTTTCAGCAGCACAGTTTCCAAGTTCAAACGGGCACGTAATGCTGTAACGTGTTTAAAACAGCCTTTAATACAACTAGAGAAATGCACAGACAACGCTGGGTCTGAAGTTGAACCTACAGATAAATCTCGTGCCGGGAACAGGGCAGTGGATTGTACAGAAGTTTTTTTTCACAATCTAGACACAGGAGGGAGTGTATTGCAGGAAGTTGGTGGTACAACACTTAGAGATGAAGGCATCTGTGGTGATAATGTTGGACAAGTAGAAACTGATGATTTACAAGTCATCCAAGATCCAAAATGTCAAGAAAGTAGAGAAGATTGTCACAGAAAACGTGATTGTCCTGTTTGTGGTCTAACATTCCTACCAACTGAAAATATGGATGTTTTTAATAGACACATTAACAGCTGTCTTGATAGTGGCTCTTACTACAGGACCACAGAAAATGATTCTTCTGCACCAGGCACTGAAAAAATGGAAGAGGAGATGTTCTTCTGTCAGCTCTGTCAGAAAGATTTATCTAGGATGAATTCCCAGCGACGTCAGCAGCACATCAATAGGTGTTGTGATGAGGCAAGTAAAGTTAAAGACACAGTGCAGTTAAACAGAGTTCAAGGACAAACTTCAACTCAGTTATCATGTCCTATTTGTGGCAAAGGATTTAAATCTTTGAAGGTATATCAGTGCTTGTGTGTTTTGAAAATGTACCTCTAGAATATTTTTTCAAAGTGATATGGCCAAACGATAACAAAATGATGAACACCAAAAAAAATATATTTACATCACTTAAGAATTCTCAAGTATAAGAATCACCTATTAGTAGGGGTATGTGGAAAGAACTGTGGAATGTGCCTTGTGGGTGTAGAAACTGAATTCAGTCCACTGCCTCACTGCATCCTTCTATTTCAGTGCATCTCCAAGGGTTGTCACTGAGGGCCGGGAGCCGAGGATTTCCCCCAGCTATTCAGAGCATGGCCCCCGGCTACTTTCGTCGTTAAATTAAACCAAAAGAGCACACCTTTGAAACACACAAAGACTATCCATCAAACTAAATGCAAGTTTCATCTGCAGCAGGTTTAAGTAATTTTGAAATACTCGCGTGCAAAAACTAAGAAATGTCGGAAAAAGACATCTGACTTAGATTTGGTACTAGTACACACGCGGGAAAACTCTCCGTTCGCAAAATGTCAGTAGGGAGTTTTAGCAATGGCGACGGCAATGAGAACGTCAAAAAGGCAATGGGTTTATTGAGCAAAACAACTAGTTTGCACGTGCATCACGCTTTTTTGTACATTTCTTTGCCGTTACTGCACGAAAACGACGTGAAAATGCCTAGTTTCTCGTTTTATGGAGGACGTAAAACAAGCGACGACAAACTTTTCTTTCTTCTCTAAACTTGAGTGTGGTCCCAAAGAAATCAAGTCCAGGGAAATTGGCCTACATTAGCTATTTTCAGCGAATTGGAATAAACGCGACAAAGTTGGAAAAAACGCCAATTCATTTTAAAAGTGACGTTTTCGCTTCCGTCACCTTTGTCGATGCTAAAAGTCCCTAGTTTCAACCGAAATCTGCACTCTTCGTTCATGATGAAAGACCTGAGGAGATCTCTGCTGACATCACAAGTTGAGGCTTCATCCGAGCGTTAAATCTCCATGATGCTGATGTTGATGATAATGAGGATTATGATGAGGGCTTTGAAGACGATGACTATGACTGATTACCATGTTTAATATATTGACATTTCAGTGACCAGGTCTACATTTAGCTTTCGGTATCGAGTATATAAAATAATGCACGGTCAACGGTAAATGTTCAATTATTGTCCGCATGTCATGATCACATCCTATCAGTTCTACTTCCAAGAAGTTATATATAAAAGGGAAGTTAAGCATAAGCGTTACTTTTGCATTCTTCTCCTTGAGTCTCATTTTGACATCTCAGTGTCGTTTATATAGTTATTAGCCCTGTCTTTTAAACGCTTTTCCATGAGACAGTTTCTTCATATGTTAAGTGATGTTTCGTTCATAAATTCGAGACCACTAATGTTACTAGTTGTGCAATTTAGTTTTGCCATATTTCATCCCGCGATTTTTCGTGCATTACCCTTGTTTTAGCCTTATCATACTTTTATTTTTCAACAAACCATAGTAACCTTATGTTTATGATGCTTTTTCGTACATTCATCGTCCACTTGTCTTCTTTCCACTTCTCCGTGGGTTAATTCATTTGTTTCATTTGTTAATTCATTTATTAGTTTTACTTTTGTTTTCCCTAAGTTGTTTCGTTCTTACGTATAACTAAATGAGGATTTACAATTGATTTTACAGCACATGTTAATTCATTTGCACCGTATAAGAATCGATTGTCCTCTCCACATTTTTAACATTTGTAAAGTATCGTTGTGATTTAACACTTCACTGGCCAGCATGCGCCTTGTCTGCATGAAGATAAGACTGCACAGATAACGTGACCGGTGCCAACCTGTCATTTTTTTAAGGCCCGGTATTTACATGTATTTTCCCTCTTGGTGGCCACTAGACACTAACTAGAAAAACCCTCCAACGAGCCTTTACGTAAAGTAAAAACTTATTCTTTTAGTGCCTCAGAATGTTGTAGTTTTCTTTAACAAAGACGTGATCATCATAAAACCGCTAATGATAGCTGTACTCTTGATGAAGATTGCTTTTTTGGGGCGGTAATGCCTTTTGGAAATCGGTAGAAGTTGCACTTCAAAAACTTCCAGGGGGAGGGGGGGAGGGGCTCCATGACTGCTTACGACTTCCCCGGCTACTAAGAACAAATACCCAGCAACTTGAAATCTTGGTGACCACCCTGATCTCCCAAGTCTCTCATAACTGTATGGAGAAAGCATCTCCCGATAAAAACTGAACTGTCAAGTCCTTCCTGTCAGAGAACCCCTTTACACATCATCCAATTTTTTTTCCCATTGGATACATTCACCCTACTTGTTTTAATAATTCAAAAGGCCAATTTACGGTTGTACGCTAAGTAGCTTAGCCGTTGAGTGGAAGTGAGGTTGGATGTGACATTGTTTTGATAGAAACCTCAGTACCATTCTTACATGTACATGCAAAAGAGTAAGTTTTACATTTTGAAAAGCAGTGAGGTTTCTATCAAAGGAAGGTCATCTCCAACCCTAGGATACTCATTACAAAACTACAGAGTATATTGTTCTGCTCTTTGCAGTCAAGACAAGCTCATCTCAAAAGGTGTGCACAAGAATACAATGTGGGAACAAACCAGCTTCTAGAAATCATGCGTCAAGAAAAGCACCAGGAGGATTCCATTTCTATGGCAGCTGTTGCAACTGAACTACTTGTAGCAACAAACAAAAATCCTGTCAGAGTTAAGAGGAAGAGAAGAGCTGTTGCACCAAAGAGGTTAGATCATCAGTGTTCTTACCAGGATTTCGTACACTAGGGTCCACAGGACCCATGGAGAAGATAAAAAATGGGGTCATGAGGGAGAAAAGCTGGCACGATTTTTAAGATACAGTTAACTCAACTTTTTCCCAGGTCTGAGTTGAAGATAATGATGAGTGTGTTCTAAAGATGCCATAACCAATTAAATTTTGGCTCTTATTATAATGAAATGTACGTATGTTTTGTAATAGGTTTTTTTTTCATTCTTTGCACCCATGGGATCCCTTGGGCTAATTATAGTGGGGCAATGCTGCGATACTGCAGTCTGGTAAGAACACCAGATCATGGAGGTCTTGTATACAGTAGAACCTCTTAAGGGGAAACAAAATAGTACAACTTTGTGGGGCCAAAGTTGGCTGGTTAAAAGTTTGAGACAACAGTTAGTGGTATGCTGGGCACCCTGAATTTCACAGGGTAAGAGCATTGGACTCCCTATAGTTTTTCTTAGTGCACAGCTGCCAGGTAGTCCTGTGCAAGGCAAGGGCTACATAATTATATGCTTGGACAACACCCAGTTGAAGCTAGACCAAGTTTCTGTAGATGCACATGTAGGGATTTCTTGTTTGATAAATTTGTGCATTCTTTGTACAGACATTGTTCAACGATATATGCAAGTGTTTTAACTAACAATGAGAGTTTGACTTTTTTATTCTCAGTGACCTTGATGAAGAAAC